AGGAGTGAAACAAGGTTGCCTACTGTCACCCATGATATTCCTGATTGTGGTGGACTGGATCATGCAGCAAACAGTAGGCAGCGAGAAGAGGGGGATACACTGGACGACGGAAAAGAACCTAGAAGACTTGGATTTCGCCGATGACTTATGCCTAATGTCACATAAACTTGAAGATCTGCAGGCAAAAACTAACAAGTTGACAGAAGAGGCAGCTAAGACGGGACTTCAGGTGAATATAGAGAAGACAGAAGTGATGAAGATACCGCACCACCACCATCATCAACAACAACAAACTCCAATCACCGTCAACGGGAGAAACTTGAAGGAAGTAACCTCCTTCACTTATCTAGGAAGCACTGTTTCAACTACAGGCGGGACGGACGAGGACGTCAGTCAGAATCGGAAAAGCAAGACAGGCGTTCATTAGTCTGAAACCAGTGTGGGGATCTTCTACACTCAGCATGTGGAACAAGATACGGATTTAAACACCAACGTCAAGTCAGTGCTTCTGTGTGGTTCAGAGACTTGGCACGTCACTAAAGGGAGTGGAATCCCCATGGGAAGCGACGAGTTGGACGTCCCGGCTGAGGGTGACATGGAGGAGGAAATGAGAGGTTCTGGGCTGTCGTGGAACCAGGTTCAAAAGATCTCAGAGAACAGAGGTCACTGGGGACGTGCTACTGAAGCCCTATGTTTCACTAGGAACCCAAGGGACTAATAATAAAATGATAATAATCTCAGATTCTGTCTCGATATCCGCTGCCTTGCTACAACAATTTGCATGAGACTTGACAGACCTTCCTCTTTTCATCTTGAGAGGCTCCGGAGAGAAAAGGAAAAGTTGTATAAGGCGGGAGATCACCCTGGCGTTAAAGGGCTTAACTGCCCGATTACGTCTGAGATACAACGCCCGAATACTATGCACAACCAGAAGTTCCCATCATGTAAGAGCTCTTTCAGTATGCGGAAGTTATTTAAAGAGCTTGCTGGTAAAAAACAGATGACAAAAGAAACTCGTTCCGATGTCTGTGCGTAAAACAAGTCGTTTATACATCGGCAAGCTTATTTCACCCTTCCTTATGTTCAGCGTCAAATGGATAGCCGTTTTCCAGGCTTTAATATACATATATATATACATATATATATATATATATATACGCACACATATAAAAGTGTCTAAAATCCTTGACTCCACCTCAAAGCTTAAGTCCTGATGGTGTTTCTAGCATTATATTTGTATGATGTGCAGGTATTTTGTCTAACCCGCTTACACACAACTTCAGTGTATCGTTTTCTAAAAAACATAATGCCCACCACTTGGAAGCAGATAAAAAGTGTACCTGTGCCTAAGCCATCTTCTGGATCAGATGTTACTTTTCTACCCATCGCTATAACTTCCCCTCTTCTGAAGACAATGAAGAAATTACTTCTCTTTGTGATTGAGCCTTCATTGATTGCTTTCAGAGATCCAAAACAGTCCGCATACAAACACCTGAGTACTTTAGATGCAGCTACTGTCTTGCATCATAATAGTGTTTCTAGTCTCGACAAAGGTGTTAAGTATGTTCACTGTGCCTTTTTGGATTACTCATCAGCCTTTGACTCTGTTCCTAAATCACTTTTGTTAAATAAGCTTGCCATAGCTCACACTGAGCCATGGGTCATAAAATGGCTGCATTCTTATTTTTTTCTGAAAGGAAACAGTATACCATTTATAAGGGGATGTGCTCCACTTTGTTTCTTACTGAGGCTGGTGTGCCTCGAGGTGCTGTAATTTCTCCTTTTCTGTTTTCATTTTTTTGCATGATTTGCCCCATTCTGTTGAAACTAATTCTATTAAGTATGCTCATGACCTGTGGGTTTTTGTTCCAGTCAACTCTTTCTTTGAATTGCTCCAAATTAAGCGAATTCCTGTCTGAAGCTGGGAAATGGTCCCCCTCAAATGGTCTCAAAGTAAACCCTTCTAAACGCCAGACCGTTAATTTCAGCCTAAGGCGTAAACAAGGCTTATGTGAGCTGCTTAAATCTCATGATGTCCACTGCGTTGATGGTATTTCTCCAGAAAGTAAATCAGGTGCGGACTATCTTGGGTTGGGTAATACTTTTGACTTTTGTTGGTCGTCCCATATTTTGTTGACCTGTAAAAAATCTTTCATTTAACTTATAACGCAAAGAAATTGAGGCCTTCTGGTGAAAACTCAGCCGCCTTTTTCTCACAATTTATGGAATGAATTTTGAAGGAGTTACGAGGATTTGGAAATATTTCAAGTTGTTTTCCGTCGTAGGCTGATATCAGTTAGAGGAACAAAAGAAATCTGGGAGCACTGAACAGCTGCTTCGTCCCAGTACGGGACCCCTCATCAGTGCGCACCCGCGGCCACACCCCGACTGGGATCGAACCCACGACCTTCAGGTTCCGTGGCCAGCACGTTACCACTGGGCCACTGGGTCAGAATCCAATGGTCCATATTTCCAACCTCTGTTGGCTCACGACATAGCTCAACCGCCACCCAATGTCATCGTTGAGTAAGTGTCCCTACGGCCATCAGGCCTCGCCCCATCGGTCATGACTTCTCATTGGAACTTCGGAAATACCTCTCGAAGGTCGCGGGTTCGATCCCTGAAGGGGCCGTGGGTGCGGACTACTGAGGAGTTCCTTACAGGGACGAAACAGCTGCCTAGTGCTACCAGGTTTTCTTTTGTTCCCCCGACTGACGTCATCCTACGATGAATAACCACTTGAAATTTATTAGTTCCTGCATTCCACCCATTCTGTATTGTTCCTCATTGATCTTTCCTGATCTTCTAAAAAAGGACTATGTAGCGTGGGGCTTTGAAGGCCGCCAGCAAGGAGAGTGGTGTGCCTCTGACCCAAATGATCAACACTGTAGTTGACAGACATATAAGTTCCAGCAAGCAGCTAGCTACAGAAATTTTAACTGACAGTGAACACCAACTTCATTTACAGCTCTCTCCATGTGTCTCCTCAGGGAGGACAAAGAGAAACTACGTAGAACTGTATGCTCGTACACCTAAGTATAAGAATTCTACTGTACCTCACCTGGCGCGCATATTTTGTGAGGGAAAATGCGTTAGAACAGAAATCACACATTAACTTTGAAACAACTAAAAATCCCATTTCAGTAATCCAACTAACAATGTAAAGTTTTCTCGTTTTCAGTATTCTTCACGTTACTTAAATTTTAGTAATAAAACAGTTCGAAATGTTGTAAGGAAGTACGCATATACTTATATTTTGTTGTTGTTGGAATATATCACGCTGAGGATTTCAAACTGTACCGTAAATTGTTTGGAATAAAGTGAATTATTATTATATTAGGTTATGGTGGAGCTATGATGCCTGAGGGAGACTTAAGTGATTACAGGGTGGTCTCGGATTGCTTACAGAGCAGGTGAATATCGCCGGACTAGAATTTAATCTGAATATGTGCTGAATCGTATTTCTGCTTATCCCTGACTTGCGAATAGTGTCCACTGTCTCTGTAGTACGCGACCTTCCCACAGCCCCATGAATGAATACCTTAGACCAATAATGGCTGAAAAAACCAAACATGTGCTCCAACTAACCGGGAGATGCCTCCAGAGCGCGTTCACTACTGACTTTCACGGGCAAATGACCAGGCGTCCTCCGCCCCAAAACTCTTTCTGAAGCTCTTCGAGACCTAGATACGACCTCACTCTGAGGTTTACAACAACATTACACCGTAACACCTGGAAGGATAAGTTAACCCCAACAGAAAGTTCAGAGAGAGTGAGAGTGCTGCGAAAACTCGATAAAGAGAGGCCAAGGCTGAAAAAACCAAACATGTGCTCCAACTAACCGGGAGATGCCTCCAGAGCGCGTTCACTACTGACTTTCACGGGCAAATGACCAGGCGTCCTCCGCCCCAAAACTCTTTCTGAAGCTCTTCGAGACCTAGATACGACCTCACTCTGAGGTTTACAACAACATTACACCGTAACACCTGGAAGGATAAGTTAACCCCAACAGAAAGTTCAGAGAGAGTGAGAGTGCTGCGAAAACTCGATAAAGAGAGGCCAAGAGACCTTTGGCTTCGCTCTGTATGTTGCCGGGGGTTATGTTGCAGCTTAATAACAGCTGACAAAATACTAAGCAACCGGAGGCATCCGAACAGTGTGATCCTGTTGAACGGCTACTATTGCAGTATCCGTGGTTAACCAAGGAAAATCGCCCACCAAAGGGCAAAAGCCCGTATTCACCAGTACATTTTCTCTCTGAAATTTCCCGGTTGCTGAAAGGCACTTTTTGCCGAGATTTCTCCCGCTTCATCCGCCGACAACTTTGAGAAGGCGCTGGACAACTACGCAGTGACGTGCCGGTTGCGCTCATCTCGCCAGGATACGAATTAGGTCAATATAAGCAACTGGTTCCACACAGTCCAGCACGGTCAACCCAATACAGAATCTTTTACACTGCGGCTATCATCGTGAACTCGACCCAACCTTTCGCCCCCTCGTCAGACATCTCACTTCCAGTTGCAACACCTCCACCAGCGATGTTACTATTTCTATTCCAATAATCCTTCCTACAACCTCCCTTTCTCCTTCACCTCTCTCTGGCTCTATGATCGCACTAGATTCATCAAGGTTTTCTTCATCACTGTCATCTCCGAATCTGCTTTCGCCCCACTTCTTGTCGCCTTGATTTTCTTCACTGCCTCTTCCTAAATTTCACCAGATATCTTTCCCTCCTTTCTGTCTTATTTTTAAAACCAGTCCGAGCAACCATCTGGTGGCACGACACTTGACAAATCATGCAATCCCTAAAATTTTAATCAACAACCAATCGTCTGGCTTAACAGAACTGCAGCAAAGGAGTGTGTATACCTGATGTATCAGAACTCACCGAAGACCTGGAACCGTTTCACAATACCTGGAAGTGGGTGCGAAGAAATCAGTTAGTCTGCTCTAGTATGTGAAAAGATACTAGATGTAATGTTTATTGAACATACCTTATGATAGATTGTCACAGCTTTCGGATTTGAACGCTACAATAAATTTGTGTCCAGTAGTAATTATACGAGAACTAATTTATGTAGTGTGTCTGCATGGCTATTATGAAATTCAAAGTCTACTGCCTATTAGTCCCTCGAAACAAATAGGCTTCGCCTGGTATCTAGATTTAAACTTACCAGTTATTATTTAGTGATTTGTACAGTTACCTATTCTAACAAATCCCGCTTCATTTGCATTTACATACATAATTATCTCCAATCTCTTACTCAGATTACGCTTAAAATAATTTTTAAATGAAATTTGCCAGTCATTGACGTTATTCTGATCAGTAACAAAATGCTGCCTTACTTTGATTATCAGTTCCGTGTTATCATAATTGGTGACAGCATGGTCGGGAAATCCTCATTAATGAAAAGCTTTGTTGAGGGGAACTTCACAGTTGTGTCTGACCCAACTATCGGAGTTGACTTCTTTTCACGAACAGTTCGAATCCAAGAGGAGGTATTTGTTAAATTGCAACTATGGGACACTGCTGGTCAAGAAAAGTTTAGGTTTGTTTCAAAATTAATCTCAACGTATAACTTTAGATCTATTACTGCATCTTATTACCGCAACTGTGTTGGAGTTCTTATCGTATTTGACCTCACTGATAGAGAAACATTTGACCATGTTGCTGATTGGTATGAAGAAGCTCGTGGTTCCATTAAATGCTCCTCTCCTGTATTTATAATAGTTGGCCACAAAGCCGATCGTCGTGACGAAAGACAGGTATGGTTTCCGGGTGAACATTTCTGTGTGTGAAGTACTGAGGCTGTTGGCCACTGGTATCCATGACTGTAAACACATCGATATTTGTGCCCAGCTAGTCCTCTTCATATTTTCATACTGCAAAAGTAACAAATTATGAGCTATCGGGTTTCTGCTTTTGTGTCATTAGAACTAAACCTCGAATCCGAAACCTTTTTCTCTTATTGCTTCCCGCTGAGGCTCTATGAGAACAGAACCAGTCACTACTAACGTCGTGGTTAGTATTTTATGTGGGCTTCCTACGAAAACAGTAGACCGAGGTTACTTCTTATGGGTTGCAACAGTCCAGATAAATATCCGGTCTCCTTTTGAGGATATTTACCATTGTAACCATCATTGTTTTATATAGGAATTACATGGTTCGCATATTCTTACTGAGAAAAAGTTGACGCAAACCTTTGTACTAACTGATGTGCAACTTGCGGTCCTCCTCTATTATGTAGATGGGAACGGTAATATATTTAGACATGTCGAATGCGATTTATCGTAACCCAGCCGTTTTCTTTGTTGCACATCTCAGAACCTTTTCCACTTCAACGCTGTCTTAAAATATGGTCGCAAAACAACTGATTTCGTCTCAGATGTAGCCAGATATGCGAGTTGTAAACCTTTATGCACTACACTTTTAAGGCCCTTAATATCCTCTAAAAACCGAGGATACTCATTTTATTATCATATAGTTAACAAGGTGTAGAGACCAAACGTTTTTGTGAGAACACAAATCCTCACTAACAGTAAGGGATACCAGGGTGGGGGGTCTTTTGCATTTTTATTCACCAGCTTCATTTTTCATTTACGCACGTTGGACGAGAGCAAGTTCTGTATGACCAATCCATGCAGATTACCCAACTGGAGTAGGTTTAAGAAACTGAAAACTAAATCGGAGATAGCCTTTCATTTGTTATTCAACCCCTTTCATCAACAAAGTCTCGTGACTGACTTCACCTCTGAGTTGGCAGTTGACTAGGCATTGTATTTAAATTAATACTTTTCTGATGTTATATTCAGTCACTCAAGAAACTTGCAATGGTATGCATCTGATTCAGATTCATTCAAGGGGTCGTAAGTGAATGTATTTTTCATTCACAAAGCAACATGTACATGATTACTGGATTTTTTCAAAATATCAGTGAGTGTACCATTTAAATCAGCTGAAAATTACTCCCAAAAACTGCAAACCCCAACTAGTACCATTGACTTATGGTCAACAGCGTTTTGAATGTGAACAACAACCGTCTGTAAAAGTGATACGTATTAACTCACTAAAAACTAAGGATGTACCACTTTGTGAAATAACCTTGTCATTTTACTCTTTCATGACCCCTCTAATAGTCTACATTTCTGAAAATCAGTATTTCTAAACAGACAGAACGACGTAAAACTAAAACAAATGTGCACTGGTCCAAGTGCAGATTCACAAATTTAGAGATGGGGTTGATTACTAAAAAGCCTCAGTCGAAATACAAAAGAACTCCCACTTGATATTCGCCACTTCATCCCAGTTGGCATTGGTGAATCGAACAGAAAACAAATGGAAACTAAGCAACCGTCTAAACGTTTGTGCAGTAGACAGTGAGCCGCACCTATTGTGAGTTAATGCTACTATCTGGCTTCATAAACCCTAGTAGGTGGAGTGGTGTTGGAACCCATGATCCACCGGTTGAAAGTCAAACACCTAGACCAATGAGTCAAAGTCCCATCAGAGTCGGTGAAATATCCGTCTAAGCACAAAAAAAGAGTAAGCGCCTCAGCAGTCCATTCCATCCTATGGATGCAATGCACAGCTCCTCAGAGTGGAGGATATGATGAGGTTTGAATTTTTTGACCGTAGGTGTTTTCGAAGCATTGCTCATATATGGTGGTATCACCGTATCATTTTCGTAATATGATGCGTAGTTGATGAGATGAACTATCAACTGAGATAAGTTGGACATGTATTGTACATACGAAGCTATCGTTTAACTTGACGTGCAATGTTGATCGAAATAGGATTAGATTGTAATCAGACTACGGAAGGCCAAACCAAGATGTGACATCCGCCTGTAAAGCCGTTGACGGTTTTTCTGGGCTGTGCACGGAGGTGTAGGCTTTTGGTTAGGGTTCGCAAGGTAATGGGAATTAGTGGTTTGGGAAGTTGATACTGCTGAAAATGGACCACAGTGGCGCAGATATACACCTTACCATCTTCGAAGTTCTAAGCATTCTCATTAACCTCTATCTATTTATTCTCTCTCCCCTCAAACATTTTTGTCTGCTTTGATGACGTTCTTTTTCTGCCCACTTCTCTGCATATTTCGGTGAAGTCTGGTAACTTCAGCTGATACATTTTTACCCTAGGTCGTATTTTGGTTTATCTCTGGTTGCGCACAGTTACCAAGCCGTAAAACACGTGATGCGGTACTCTGTAAATGCCTGCAGGACAAGGTAAATTTATCGATGGGGACTCATGTTTACTTGACCATAAACAGAAGTCAACGACCAATAGCATCTACCTGTCTCCGTGCTTATATATCACAATGACCGTTGAGGCCCAGTATGCCAGAAAGGTCTGTTAAATATTGGTGAGACAAAAAGCAGTTATCGTTATTGTGTAAATTCCCGCTTTATGATAGGGTCCGAGAGCGATATCATACTACTGACTGAACACGAGTTTGACCGCAGTGTTTCTTGTGGATGATCAGTAGTGATAAGCTGATAATGCCTTCCCTTTGGAAGAAGGGAGGTTATAATAGGTCGCTTTCTAGACAGTCTTCTGGTTTCGGTGGTGTGCTTTCCCTAGTAGGATTTAAATCAATCGAAGTTGAATGTCAATTATCTAAAAAGAACCGTATTTAATCGACTTCAAGTAGATGTCCTTTGGGCTCTGCGATCACGCACCACCATTGCTGATCTAATTTATTTGCTAGATAGCTCAAAAAGTAACGATATGGGCAACTATAAACTGTCAAGTACCTTCATAACTCTGTACCTAAGTTCCCTCAAACCATTATCAACCTTCCACATACAGGCCTTCCAATCTTTCTTCACACCACTCGGCCAATATTCCCAAGTCATCTTTATTTTCTTTAAGCTCTTCAGTTCTCGATAACAATTCGAGTTCAAAAAACAGCATTTCTGGTCACCTGACCCCACACTCCAAACTGCATATTTGGAGGTTTCAATTTACGTATTCTCCATCGAACCAAATAACAAGTTTCACCCTCTAAAACTCTGTCATTTTGAGCCACAGACGTGTGCTATGTTTGTGAGGGGTGCATACAGAATTCAAGCGTGATAACTCACTAAACGTCACCTGGCCAATATAGTGAATCTGAAAAATATACTTTTTGGGCTTCTGAAGCTTCTATGATTAGTTCTCGATATCTTGTGGATGTAGGTATAGCCCTAAGTACTAAGAGAGAAAGTGCACTGCTCGACTGCATTCCAGTTGGTAGTCGCCTATGTACTGTTCGACTGAACGGCACAGCGAGGAATAAAAAGAGTAGTGAAACTCGCCGTTTTCTTTGTAATCTCTGCTTATATACACCCTGACTGCAGTTTGGTTGTTGTGAAGAATAATTTCTACCGAAAATTATCTGGCATCCTGCTGAAGGCTAAACATTCAGATGTGATTGTTGTTGCAAGTGATTTCAGTGCACAAGTAGGTAATCTAAGTCAGACAGGAAAACAATCACGTGGCACTTCCGTAATCGCAACCGAACGAGCGGGTAACGCCGGTCGCCTGGTACAACTATACTCAGACAACTATTCATTTCTGGCCAGCAAGAACTTCAGACACTAAGAGAGATATTTTCTGACGTGGCATCCACCTAACTTAGCTCAGTGGTGGATACAGGTAGACCACATTGCTGTCAGTTATCGCTTGAGAGGGTCAATGAAAGGTTGCTGCACCTCCCGGTGTACGCGTTTGAAAAGTGACCACATGTTGCTCCGAGCATACATATGTCTGCATGAAATAAATGAAAGAGGTGTAGCATCAAGAACATTTAAAATGCACCTCAAGGATGGGAATACTAAGGCTAGTTTCAACAAAAAACTGACTAGGCAGTCATTGAAACAGTGAAATGTCATTCATCCTGAAGCTACCTGGTGCCATCTTCAATTTACTGTAAAACCAGCGTTAAAGATCGTAACCGACTCTCAGAAAACGCTGAAAAGCGTCAGTCAATCTGAGCAGCTTCTTCCAAATTAACGGGTTCATATAAACACATTCCTGCAGTCTTTGAGCACAATGAGGAGCGGAAGCAACTCAAATGTAGACCGACAAAGTGTCTGCACAATGACTGTGAGTAATGGTGAATCGAAAAGTCTAGAGATGAAGAAGGTAGCCGCGAAAGGTAACAGTAGACACTCAGTAGACTCTTCAGGTAAATAGGGGCATAAAAGTCAGTAGTTAGTGAGACTGTAGCGAAGAATGATGAGTCAGCGACTTACTCACAGGGGAAATGACCGGAACGGTAAGTAAGACACTTCGTTCCGTTCAATTGGCCTCTAGCTACTATTCTGTTCACTGCTATCCAGATGGATCCCTAAATGGAACTCTGAGGTAGACCCTCCAGCATTTGTAGGAGTTGGAATGACTGTAAGAAACCTGAAACGATGAGGGTTAGCAGGGCCAAACGGGTTGATACTAGAACTACTTAAGGATAATGGTCAAGGGTTACTGCTTGGGTCAACTAGTGTCATCCAGTGTATGGGAATCAGATATAATTCCTGACGACTAATCTGGAACATTGATCGTTCCAGTCCTCAGGAATCCTCCTGTGATAAACAAAAGGGATTTAGTATGACCAATGGTGTATCAGATCCTACGTTCTATAGTCATTCCACGTCTAAGTGAAATTGGAGAAGAGTGAGCCTGAGGAAATCAGTGAGGTTCCATACCTGGTCGTGCGTGTATCGACTAGATATTCACCCTCGACCAGGACCTAGGACGCAGACATACTTACCGTCACCTGGCACTGGATATACTTCTCAACCTGAAGGCGGCATTTGACCCCGTCGATCGAGAGAGGTCTTATAACCGTGTCTTTCACTGAAAGAAGTGCAGATCAGGTGCATCACTCTGTTGAAGGCTCTTTACTCGGACACCCGTGGTCTTTTTAGGGTTTGTAGTGAGTTATAAGGGGAGTTTTGTATATCGACTGGTGTCCTTCAAGGATATCCGTTGTCTCCATTCTTATTTAATTTATCATAGAAGTACTTATATAGGTCTCCTTCTGGTCGTCTTACTTCACAAAAATTGACCCAAAAAGAGGAAAATCATTGGTAGACTTAAAGTAGGCAGATGAAATAGTCTTGTCAGGTAAAGTCATTGGCAAATTACAGAGTCTTCTGGACACCTTGAGTGACGATTTAAGGATTTTCGGGACGCGTTCTTCAGCATCCAAATGAAAATCGTCACTTCAAGACCGGTAAGCGTCAGTGCAACTTCTGACAATAGGGAGTGAAACGATTGAGTGTGCTGACGAGTTCACTTGCATGGGAAGTTGGTTCAACTCTTATGGTCTAGTGACTGACGGAATCTCTTTACTGGTGCCAAAGGTGCACTTAACCTTCTTCATTATAGCCATTTATTGCACTGGTGTCATATCCGATTGGCTAGCAGCAGCCGAGTGTACTGTACTACAATTCGCTTTGTTTTACTACGTGGCTGGGAAACATGACCATTAAATTTAGAGGGCATAGGGAGGCTTCAAGTGCTCCATCACTATTGCTCTCATAGCATAGACCGTGTGTCGTAGTGTCACCATATCAGTAACGTAGAAGTCAGGGGTAACATTTTAAGCAGATGAGGAGAGTTAGTTGATGAGGTTGTTAACCGTTATCGACTGAGGTGGTTTGTTATGCATATCTAGTCACCGTCTGCCTTGTCTCACAATCTTAACTGAAGTAGGTTCAGCCTGGAAAACGGTAACAGTCGGTCAGAGTAAAACATGGCATCAGTGCATAAAGTCTTTGACTTTTGGTCTGACACGTGTATGGGAATTTAGACTTTCCTGCTGCCAACCAACACTCATAGTTGGAGACTCCTGAGTGAATCAGAGAAAGTTTCAAAAAGTTCAGCATTTTCCTCACTGGAGACATGTTAGCCAACTTGTTCACACCGTTAGTTGCTACCACAAAAAGTAAAAAAGGGTTAAGATTATTGAGCGAGTTAACTGCTTAAGCTGCATGGAAAGTTACATGAAGTTTTATGGATTTATGTCTGACAGTTATGAAAAGCCTGATTGGTAATTTCAACAGCCTATGTTGCCGATAGAACGAGTGAGATATTTGAATCCCTATCAAGAGCTTAAACATTTATCCTATGTTCATACACGTCCTTCTAGTGCATTCCAATATTTCAAGAAACCTTTATTCGTCGCCGCATGCTTTTTAAAGGTTTAGCCGCTTGAATTGATGATTTAGTAAGCTAGGTCGTGCATTATTTTCTATATTTTATTAATGTAACTTATAATAAACGGTCTTAGTCGTTGGAAAAGAAATATAAGAATTATGCTGACAATTTTTAAATATCTGTACTACTGAGTCAAATCGCAATATTTGTGTATTCGAAATCGGGAGGGAGTGCTGCTCTCCATTGATTGAAGAGTTTCACTATCCTTAGTATAATTCATACATTTGATCTGAACAAATCGTATCTGGTTGATTCAACATAACGAAGTACTCTTTGTGTGCATTCTATTCAATTTCACAAAGTATATCGAAATGATCTCATCTTTATATGGTTATTTAACTTGCTTCTGGTGGAGTTTATCACTACTATACCCGGACTAGCCATCTACACTGAACGAACTAATTTTATCACAAATTTGCTGGACAGTTTAAAAATAATTCAATACATTTTAATATTTCTCACTTTTTATTCGATTGCTTACTGTTCAGCATTTAAATTTCGATAGCAGAAAAGCCAAACCACAATATGATTTAAGCAGACAGATCTAATCGGAGACTATTTACACTACCTAAGTTGATGATGTTGATGATTTACACTGCCAGCTAATTGTAGCAAACTGTCGAAATAAGTGAGATATGTACGTGAAGCATCCATTTTATGATTGATTTGTTGGTTATCTTTGTAACTCGAAGTGCTGATATTGATTTTAGGATATCAGCTTTTGCCGATGCTTCGATAATGTCTTCTGGTTTCATTTTTGCCAATTAGCAATGGTTAGAGTTCGGCTTATGTTACATCGTACTGTAGACTTTCCAACTAGAGGTACCCGAACCTCACTGTTGGTGTTCTCACTAAAGTCCGAACGCAGTATTATTTATCAAACTATTGAGTTACTGCGAATACAAGTTGTTCAATAAGTTTTAATTTTTATTGTTGCTTGATACTTCCTGTCGTTGGTTAGTCCTTAACATATTAGTCATCGTGAATTTTACTGGATAATAATGATCGTAATTAACTTAGCTAAATAATGGCTATGAAACTAAGGGAAAATCTTGACCTCAATACAATGTTCTGCACTAAAGATTCAAAGAAGAAAAGTGTTACACTACTTTTTTTTATTAAAAAGTCCTGTGCTGCATATATATATATATATATATATATATATATATATATATATATATATATATATATATATATATATATATACATTTTGTGTGTATTCATTAGGTTACAAAAATTGAAGCTCAATCTCTTGCACAACGACTTGGTGATTATACCTACATAGAAACATCCTCACTTACCGGACAGAATATTGAAAAAGCTTTTGAGCTACTTGCTGAAGATATTTACGCGAATGTTATCAAAGGGACGTATAATGAGGTAAGCACAAGCGTACACTAAATAACCTCTTTTTATAACGGTTCTAGTGCTTACTACTTTCTGTCATGATTAGCCTATTATATATATATATATATATATATATATATATATATATATATATATATATATATATATTAAATTCTTTTGAAAGTGACTGAAAGGATTTCGGAAAGCGTCAAGTTACTGCACAAGTTTAGAATTCCACACCTGTAAATAACACAAAGATACAGTATCACGTACAACCAGGTGGAAATTTCCAAGCTGGACCATCAGTTACACTAGTTGTGTAATGGTTAGTGTTACTAATTGGCCATCCTAATTTTTAGGGATAGAGTGGAATTGAAACCCGTGATCCCTTAACTGCTTTTGTTAATGAAGTACAGCAACGCACAACACGAAAATAAGTTAATGACTAAAATGGAAATCATTTAAAAGGTGTGAAAAAGTTGTTGCACTGACGACAGAATGACTACTTGTTCAGCGAATAAAGTAGGACAAATAATGAATACCTTTATACTATATAATGGTATTTACTGTAACCATATTGTCCAAAGTTAGTAATGCATCGGCATGAGTCCACAACTTTTGTTCACTGGGTCACGATTTGTAAACTTTTCTCATCTATTAGGGTTTGAACAATTAGGTTATATCGTTGCTCCATATACGTAGAGCATTTAACGTGCTGCAAAAAGATACACTTTGGAAGAGAGTTACCTCCATTTTAATCTGAATCTTACCGTTCTTCACGATTGGAACTGATAACCAGTGATCATAAATTGAAACGCCTGTGGAAATGTTATGACATTTAAACCATAGTATTAGTTAAGGACGAATTACCTCGCACGTAGCGTTCCCATGTCATTTAAAGTGTCCACTGCGAACTCAAACGCCATCCACTCCATCAGAATCTACGGATTCACGTGAAGCATTCGAAAAATCGAAATTGATATGGAGCTAAGCAACTACATACACACTTGTACAGTAAGCACACTCATTATGTGGAGGCTGGCCTAACTACGATGGATGGGGGTAGCCCGGATATATGACCAACTGGTTGAGAGCATAAACCACTGATTTTCACTCAAGACTTCATACCTATTATAGATAGGTCCTTTGTATTCAAATATCCGTTTAAGCGCTGCATATAAATCCACTTTTATGAGAATTACTTTTGCCATGACAACAACCAATAGCGCTCTCAGCAGAATCTGTAGTGCTCGCTGTATCAGAGAAGAACCTTTTTGCCTACTTCTGAGCATACTGTGGTGCTAATCTAATGACCATGAGGCTTTTCTCACTCCATATAGCATTTAACGAATGTAAGCGGTAATATTTGGTAGTCAAAATTTAGTGATTTAACCAGTATAAACACCTAAATGGAACAGGCACCTAACGTCCAATACTGATTTCATTAAGTACCATTTCAGTTTGCACCTCTAGACATTGTTGTCTAAGGTTTTCGTAGTAATAAAGGATTTCTAACAATCGGAAGAGTGTTTTTTTACATTCTCGTATATCTTAGTAGTTTGTTCTTTGAGTAGTCCTTTCAACTTCGTAGTTGAGTATTTCTCAAAACTTTATTCTTTACTTTTGCATTGACTTGCCACTGAAGTCAGCATATGTTTCTCAGTTCCCTTCTTTTATCTCCTAGAAAAATATGACAACCGATATGGCAGGTATCTAAGCCCTGCATAATGACGTATACATAAAAAAGATCCGTCTGCGAGACATTCTGCTAAGACAAACTACACCTATCTGAACAATGCAAGAACATGGACATTTGCAGGATAAAATAAGCTCATCTTATTTCACAGCCTCTTATAGAGAATGGATATCCGAAGAAATTCATCATGGAGCATGGAAAAGAATTTATTGAGGGGTCAAAACGTCCAACTGTTGAAAAGAAGCCTATTTTGCTTCATCTAGCTTTGAAAGGTGATGAATTTATCACCAGCTGCACATAAAGTGTTGAGTCTTTTCATGCACAAGCATTTTGCGCGTTTTGCAGTGTCAACAGATACAGACTAGGTTCTATTTACGGGGTAATCTAACCGCTTTACTTTCCGCAGAATACTTTCACATTATAAAACGCTTGTCAAGCCGTCAGCCCTTGTTTTCCTTGTCGCAATCACTACCTTCCAATCCGTGGACAAGATAGTCCTTTGTCTGATAACTGTACAAGTATAATTAAGGTTAAAGGTACTATATAGAGGTGCTTATTTGCATTGTTTTCAACTGTTAATGAGGTTGAAAAAAATTATCTCGTTTCATCACAACCATCTAACTTTGTCATTATTAATAAATTAGAGAAATCTCTGAAAGCGTTTATCTCTCATATGGAGAGGTCTGCAGTGCGTTTAAAATATACTCCTAATTATTATATTATCCACTCTCTCATTTTATGTCTGTGAGACGGGTTATTCAAAGTAATGTGGCAGCTAGAACTGATACACTCATTTCTATTCCAGATGCCGCGTTGATTTGTCTGTCTATCGTATTTGCACGATGTTGTAGATTATGTAGATTTAGTCATACATGTACGTCTGTGTGTCTATGCCACATGAATTCTGATTTGTACAAAGGAAACGTGTTTAACGTTGATCTCAGTGACTTGTGAAATTCATAGGAAGATGCTGGATGCTAGAAAAAATCCTGTGTAAGTGGTTCCATTTTCATCTAAAATATTTTTTCTGCATACTTTCAAATAAATAGTGATTGATTATTGAACATTTTTCATATTGGTTTTATTTCTTCGAATATGTCCACCGGTGGTTTTAGTTATGCGCAGCTGGTATTTGGGATGGTGTTAAACAAGGTCACAATGCTGCATTAGCCGCTTCACTCGCAAACAAATCAATACACTTTAGTCAAGATGAGTCTAAACCTCATGGAGAGTGTTGTTAAGATTAGTTTCCCGACACTTTTTTCTCTCTATTCAGCCATTTCCAATGAAATAAAAGATGTCCATATTTCCTTTTTAATCACTCATAGATTCTTCTATGCTTATTGTGACTTACGATATAATCTAATTTAAATGATTTGAATCTGCCAAGACAATTGATCTCCTTTTTTTATTGTTGATTTTCTCCGTTAATTTTACATTGTGAATTAGCTGTGGTAAAATTGGCTAAATGATGCCAATTTTTTGTTACCTTTGTTCTTTACCTATATTTCGTGTTTTACAAGCATTATATGTACATCTTGTAATCGTTACCTTTGTATGCGCACTTGCCTACTCTCCGTCCCTCCATATTTTGAGGAAGACCTATTGAATATACTTGATTTAATATTTGAACACTGTTTATTCATTCTAATTTATTAATATACTTACACACTTTTACTTTAATTACTGTTTTATTTGTATCAATTTAATCGTAACCTACTGTTTGGTTTTTTCCTATGTATCTGTAAATTATGCTTTTTCGATTGAAAGAGAGTAAAATTAGTTAAACACTACCCTTTAAATTGTTATCTTGCCCCCTGAGAATTACTCCATGATAGAACGAAGATATAATATCAAAGTTGATTTTCTTTCGTCAACTTCATTTACTAAAGCTGTAGAGTACTAGAAGCGTTTAACAGGATTACTAACCAATAGAGTCGTTTAACATAACGTCAAAGAGTAGAACAAAAGTTGCTTCCAAAGACAGAAGTTTACTACTTTGGTCAAGGTGTGCGGCCAATGAGTCCACGTGATTTTTTTTAAACACAAAGATCAGGTTTAAAGTTGTGAATTGCCACTGGTTTGTTTGTATGTGTAAAGATGACGTAATCGAATTGCTTTTTCCCGACTGATAGCTGCTACCTTGACGTGGTGATCGGGCTTGCATATCACAATGACCCAACGAGCTATGCTGGTGGAACGCTTGTTCCCTCGAGGTCCTACCATACCAGAAAGGTCTGTTGGGTAGTGGTTAGACGAAAAGCAGTTACCGTTATAGTGTAAATTGCTACACTATGATGGGGGTCTGAGGGCGAAGTCGTACTGCTGCTAGCTGGATGGGGTGTGACAGCAGTAAGGTGTTTCCCTTGGATGACCAGCAGTGCCATGCTGATGCTGCCTTCTCAGTGGAAGGGGGGGTTAGAAAAGGTCGGCCCCAAAAATAACACACTCCACCACGCCCCACGGTCTGCCGGGCCGGCGGTGTTGGTTCACTTGTCGTTTCCTTTCGACCATCCGGCCCCAAAAATACAAAAGTTCAAAATAATCATACTCAAAAGGCTGGGTGTGACAGGCCTCAAGCAGATGTCCGATGGGCTCTGCGGTCACACAAATCTCTTTCAGGTACCTTAAGAAGAAATAGCCTTCCACGGTGTGGGCAGCCGGGAAGTGTCAACCGCCCTCACAACTCTGTCAGCACCCAAGTTTCTTCTGACTGCTATCCTCCTCCTCCATCATTACCTTCTAATCTTCCTTCACGTCTCTTAATTAATGATGCTGCATCATCTTCAATTTCTCCTACCTCTGCAGCCTTCGACAACGATCTGAGTCCACAGAACAGCATCACTGGTCTCCTTAAACCACGCTCCAAATTACATATTGGAGCCTTCAATGTCCGCACCCTCCGTCAAATTGGCCAACAGGCTTCGTTGGCAAAGACTCTAGCAACTCGGGCATGGATGTGTGCTGTGTTTGTGAGACACGCATACAGGACCCAAGTGTGGTTATTCACCTGACCTCTCCTGACCAATCTGGTGAATCCGCAAAATTCACCCTTCGAGTTTCTGGAGATTCGATAGCTAGCTCTCGTGGTCTTGCAGGTGTAGGTATAGCATTAAGCACCAGGGCAGAAAACTCACTACTAGACTGGATCCCAGTTGATAGTCGCCTCTGCGCTATGAGGCTGAACGGCACAGTGAGAACTAAAAGGAATAGTGAGACTCGCCGTTGTCTCTTTGTAATCTCTGCTTACGCACCCACTGACTGCAGCTCGGATGAAGTGAAGGACGAGTTCTACCATAAACTGTCTAACCTCCTCTCGAAAGCCAAACGTTCGGACGTAGTGGTTGTTGCAGGTGACCTCAACGCACAGGTGGGTAGACTGAGTGAGGCAGAAAGGCACTTAGGTGGCACTTTCGGAATCCCAGCTGAACGTACAGATAACGGTGATCGCCTATTACAACTATGCTCAGATAACCGCCTATTTTTAGCCAGCACCAATTTCAGACATAAAGAAAGGCACTGTCTGACCTGGCGTCCACCGAGCTCGACTCAGCGATGGACACAGATAGACCACATTGCTATTAGTCATCGCTGGAGAGGATCGGTGGAAGACTGCCGCTCCTTCTGGAGTACGTGTTTGGACAGCGATCATGCGTTGGTCCGAGCACGTATATGCCTGCGTCTCAATGGACGTAGAAAAAATTTGGCAACAAAACCACTACGAGTTCTGCTGGACAACGAAAACACCAAAGCCGTGTTCAGTGAGAAGTTGGCTAGGCAGTTATCGGAACAAAATACTGTCACTCATCCAGAAGAAGCTTGGTGCCATCTTCAGTCTGCTGTAAAAGCAGCACTGAAGACTGTAGCCGACTCCAAAATAGTGACTAAAAAGAGCCAGTGGATATCAGCAGCTTCTTCCAAACTAATGGATGCACGTGAATGCATCCCTGCAGGCTCTGAGTACAATGAAGAGCGAGCGCAACCTAAAAGTAGACTGACGAAAAGTCTGTGCAACGATTGCGAACAGTGGTGGGCAGCGAAGGCTAAAGAGATGGAAAGGGCAGCGGCGATCGGTAATAGTAGACAGTTATTTAGACTTATTAAGGAGACTGGGGGAAAAGATCAACAACAGTTAGTGAGGCTATAGGGGAGAAGGACGGATCTGCGATTCACTCGCAGAAGAGATGACTGGAACGATGTGTAAAACACTTCGAGGAATAGTTTAACTGGCCTCCAGCCACTATTGCGTTGCCCGCTATCCAGTCGGATTCTGAATGGGACACAGGGATAGGCCCCCAACACTAGGAGAAGTTGAGAAAGCGGTAGATAACCTGGAACGAGGAAGGGCAGCAGCACCAGACGGATACAAAAGGCTCGATCGGCTTTTGCCAATTTCCGCCACCTGTGGGGCCGCCGTGATATCCGATTGTCTACTAAGAGTCACGCGTACTGCACAGTAGTCCGCTCTGTTCTACTGTATGGCTGTGAAACATGGCCATTGAAAGTGGAAGATATAAGAAGGCTACAAGTGTTTGACCACTGTTGCCTTCATAGTACAGGCAGTATTCGGTGGTGTCACCACGTGAGTAATGCAGAAGTTAGGTGTAGAGTTTTAGGGAGAAGAGGTAAGTCAGTTGACGAGGTTATGAACCTTCATCGTTTGAGATGGTTGGGACATGTACTACGTATGCCCAGTCACCAACTGCCTCATCACACAATGTTGGCTGAAGTAGGTCCAGGCTGGAAAAAGCCCGAGGTAGCCAGACTAAAACATGGCACCAATGTATGAAGTCTCTGACTGTTGATTTGAGCCATGTGGGACGATGCAGACTAAGTGGTTGGGGTCCATGGGACAAGGGGAACCAGTGGTTGGAGACTCTATGGTATATGGCTCAGAACCGATGTCAGTGGCACAGATGTATACATATATTATCCTCATCTTAACTACGCTATACCGAATTTCACCATTTCGTCATTCTTCTTTTCCTTCTTCTCGTACTTTATATTTCTTTTGACTGTATTCTCTTATCTTCATCTTGCCCCTCACTGCCTTTCCACTTGATGTACTGATATGAGCTGTGACAAGTCGAACCGTTAAGCAGTAATGCCTGGTCCTATGTTGATACTGATTGATTGATTGATCGATTGAATTGCTTTGGAATTATAGGAATACACTCTATAAATTACTTTGAAGGAACTGCCAAGAGTTTTTTGACCCTATTATTTGGTCATTTTACTAAAGCAACTTTAACTGACAGGGTGAGACGTTTTGAAATCTAAGTAACTATTCCAGTGTGAAGGATTTCGATCGGCACTAGTATTTAAACTCCCATCTTGTTTCGGTTTTATTCTACAATCTAATATTGCTAATTCCCCTTCACTATTTTCCAGTTCACAGATGAATTGAATTATTTTGACTACTGAGTTTATATGTGTAAGGAAACTATATGCATGTTTCGATTTCAACAGTGTGAACGTGTCATCTACATATCGCAACCGTACTTTGACAGTGGGACTAATTGTTCTTACAGCCATCCATTCCCAACTGTCTATAAATATGTCGGTCACAATAGGGGCAACTCCTGTTTGTTTGTATATTTTATTCTGAAACCTAAACATTGTGGAGCTTGCACTGTCATGCTGAATAATATCATCCACACACACACATTTCAGAACAAAGTCTTTCTGAAGTTAGTGCTGATGTTGTCTAGAATGACAGTGAAAGCTTCACGATTAAACCACTCAACTTAGAGAATACATCACTAAAATTTTCATGAGCTACAAATCTTCTCCACCATCTCAAGAATTGATAGCCGTTCACACCTTTTGAAGGTGTACACATTTAACACTAAAATTGAGTATGGCGTTGCATGTTAACTTATGAGAACTGTAAACCTGTCACTGAGGTTCAATTCGTTTCTGCTTTCGACTGACGTTCGATAACAAATCTTACGAAAAATTTGTGTGTCGAGTGAGTGTTTGCTCAATCTTCCATAATTTCCTTGTTTTTCAGCAATGAATAAGTTACTTGATTTTAGCCACATGTTCCGTTCCTGCTCATCTACCAAACTTTTGGCAACGACATTATTGCGGAGCTCAAATCATAAGTTTGGTTTACTGCCCGGTACGTGAAAGTATATGCGGTTGTTTTTGGCGGGCTCTATTTTCCGAGTCAATTAGCTCACACTTGAGTATGAAATATGATTCAAAGTATTTTATGGCTTTAGAACACCAGTCCAAATACTAATAAAGCTTTTAAAAATCCTAGTAAATTTTGAAAACTGAAGATTTATCGCTAAGGCTGTTTGTTGAATATTCCTTTTCCCAAAATATTTTTCGTATTGTATGTCTTCAGAATAAGTGTTAACCCTTATGGAAATTGAATTAGCAGCGTTCATCTCTTTAGTAGAGATGCTTCGATATTGCCTGTGTTTGAGTTATATATAAATGATGACTCGATGGTCTAGTGGATAACGCTCTGGCATTTGAAGCAATCAGTTCCGAGTTTGAGTTCTAGTGGGAACAACATCGCTCACTGGGAGGCATATACATCCAGCCGCCAAGTCCCAAATAAGACTAAACTCGTGTTACTGATTCTACTGTTAGCCACTATCTACTCTTAATGATGTCACTTGAATAGTAGATAACGCAAGCTGGATGACTAACTTTAATAATACAACTTACAGCCAAGTCGTTCCAAACAATCAATTGTTGCTATCAAACAATTAGCATGTCAAATATACCGGCATTCTAAATCAGTGTACTAAAAATTAATATAATATATACAATATTG